TGGGAATTGGGTGTGATTGAATGGCATGCAAACTTCAAGGAGATGTCACACAAATTGATGAGCCAAAACAGGGAAACATCTCAATCTCTTTTCTTTTCTAAGTTTTCCATGTGATTTAGACTTTAGTTGTGATATTGAATTTGGATTTCAGTTGTGATATGGAATTCCATGAGGATAAGACTGATCAAAGTTTTATATGATTGATCAAATTAAGGATACAATCTTATACTTTGCATGTTGAGCTTAAATGAAATGATTGCATGAATCATTCAATGTGTAAGAGTAGAAAGATTAGTTTTGATGCATATAGAGAAAATCAAGCATGCACTCTGAACTGTGAGGAAATTGAGCCTATATAGAAAAATTTTGTTCAGAGAGCACTTCACTGCGTGAATAACTCTAGAACTTACCATGTTTCTTGCTTGAAATGGTTCATGATGTATAGGGTAGAATTGATTGAGACATTTCCTTTTTGAACCAGAAAATTTAAATGGCCAACCTTAATGTTTCCATTGCATGAAACCCTTGAGCTTAAGCCTGTTTGTCTATAAAACCAAGAACCTACATTCATTCCAATCCTTCAGAGTACATGTTTCAGATAAGGGATAATGGATGAAAGTTCTGTTTGGAGAAAAGTGTTTTTGCAAGATTTGACAACACAAAGTGTTGGAAATTTGGAGAAAAAGAAGGAAGAAAAAGAAAAAGAAAAGGAAATAAAGGCACAAAGTGCTTGGCGAAGGAAAAGGGGGAATTAAAAACACAAAGTGTTTGGAAGAAAAAAAAAGGAAGAAAAGTTCAAGGAAAAAGAAAAGGTGGTGCAAAGAATGGATTAAAGGAAGAAGAAAATTGGAAGGATTAAGGAGCACATGGACAAATTCAATTGTGATCCTCCTTTTATCTGAATCTGAGTCATTTAATCTGGAACCTTTTTCAACATTGAAACCTACCTCTAGCCAACCAACATGCCAAGCCATATTCCATCCTTTAAATCAGAATTCTATCTCTAGTCAAGCCACACACCAAGCCTCATTGCCAGTCAAAACAAGACCTTTTTGAGCTGCTTTATAGATCATTGTTACTGTGGATAGTGAGAAGATGGGCAAGCCTATGGCAGTTTGAGTGCAGTGAAGAGTGAGTGATAAGTACACCCTTAAACACTAGAGTGCACGAGAGTCAAATTCTCATAATTTTTGAGAAGTTCCTAGTGAGGGGGTGTTGTTGTTTGGAAGTCTATGTATATCATCTTTACTGATCTGTTGAAAAGTCACAAATGATGTTGGGCAAATCATAGGAAATAAGAGATTGCATGGTTATAAGCTTGTATCATAAAATGTTGATCTTTTGTTAATTGAAGTCCATCCTCATGAATTTCATTTGTAAAGAATCTCAATTTCTTCTCTGTTTTTAATTCATTGCTGAGGACAGCAATGTTCAAATCTGGGAATTGTGATGAACCCTTAGTTCATCAAGTTTTTGAGCATGAATTAGTATAAATTTGTGTGATTAAATGGATGAAAAAGAGGTCAATGTCCTATAAATTCCTAAATACAAGTTCTGGAAGTTGTATTGAAAATTTACATTGTTCTTGTAGGGAATTGAAGCTCAAAGAAGCAAAAGAGAGAAGGAAGAAGATTCTGAAAATTGGAAAATTCTAAGTGTTGGGCGCTAAAACGCCCAAAACTGAGCGTTTTAGCGCCCTGCTGCACAAAAGATGCTGGTGCTGAACATTAAAACGGCCAAAACTGGGCGTTTTAGCGCCCAAGACAGTTAAAAGCAGTTGGCATCCGTCAAGGTTGAGCGCTAAAACGTCCAGAAAATGAGAGTTTTAGCGCTCATGTCAGTTTTCAGTTGTAATTTGTAAATTATAAAAGGACAAGGGGCCTTCACAAGATCAGATGCAACTCTCTCATATCCATTCTCTGATATTCTGACTTTCCCCATCACACTAGGAGAAGGGAGATCAGGTCAGATCTTTCATAGATCTGATTTGACTCCTCATTTTCTCTGACTTTCCAAATTCTTAGGACTTAGCATTGTAATAGTTAGTATACTTTCATGTAATTGTACTTGAAGATTGAAGACTCAACTATCATGACAATGGAGTTTGATCTTTCTTCTTCTTCTCTTGTTATTATTTGTATCATGTCTGAGTAGAGTCCTTTGTAGTCTGATTCAATGGAACTCAAGTTTGAATTTATGAATGGTTAATTAGATGTTTTGTTTATCTATTATGTGATTGTATGAAGTTGTCTTGATTAATTCTTCATGTTGAGGAATAGTGTAGAACAAACATGTTTACATTGTTTCTCTATTTTTGACAACTTCATCATCAGTGTTCTAGTAGTCAAGGGATTGATGCTAGGATTCTGATGTGATCTTAAGACCTTAGTAATTAATGCATGTATTAAGAAAGGAATCACCAAGGGATTGAGGTTTCTGATTAATGTGTCTATCAGGGTAGTAAGGGATTACATCTTGAGATGATAAGAAAAAGGTTGATCAACATCACACAGTAGATAATTCATAATGGAAATTGGTTCATCTATAAATTCATGTTTGAGGGAAAATGACATCTGACTACTTGTTTACATTATAATTTACATTTTAATTATTTATCAAATTTTAATTCAATTCAGTGTAGTTTCTGGTGACAAGAAATCTATGCAATCTATGAACTTTTGTTTGATTCAACTCAAGTACATATGGTTAGTCAGTGCTTGACACAAATCCTCGTGGGAACGATATTTACTCATCATTTTATTACTTGTACGACTAGTACACTTGCTAGATTCGCAACACGAGCGCGAGCAGATTCGTGCTGATAACGTGTTGTAAAATTAATAAGAATAGAAGAGATAAGATAGATAGGAGAATGTATTCTTGTTGTATTGTTATACTACAATGATGCCTTATTTATAGGCTCGGGAAACATGAGAGTTACAATAACTGAAATTATTCTCTAACAGTCATAACTTCTCCAACAGCCATAACGTCTCCAACAGTCATAACGGTTATATAACGGATATGCACAACCAATAAATTATTTATAACATTAAAAATATTTTAAGTTTTAGAGGAATTAAAAATACGTTAAAAATTTATAATGACAATTATTTTAAAAATTAAATATTTATTACAGCGGTCGTCATAAGTCATAACTATTGACGCTAAGCCACTGCACATGCACTGACAACTACATGTAATTGGATAACACGGACTTGGGTACTGGGATCAATGTTATTAAAATTGGTCCGATTATTAATCTGGAACAATGACCATTTTGTCACGCTTGGCAAAAAAATTTACCAGACTGCCACGCCAACAATAAATTTTGCCAAAATGTCACGCCGCATATTTCGCTACACTGTGTAGCGAAATATGTTTGCAAGTAATTCGCTACACAGTGTAGCGAAATATGCCATGTCAGGCTGCACAGTCAACAAAAATGACACGTGTCAAGCAGGTAGAAATTCGTTATATTGTGTAGCGAATCATGCTTGGATTCTGCCTGCTTGATACGTGTCATTTTTTGCTGAATGTGCATCCTGACATGGCATATTTCGCTACACTGTGTAGCGAATTATTTGCAAACATATTTCGCTACACAGTGTAGCGAAATATGCCGCTTGGCATTTTGACAAAATTTATTGTTGGCGTGGCAGTCTGGTAAATTTTTTTGCCAACCGTGGCAAAATGGTCACTCTTCCTATTAATCTAATCAAAGTATTAGGTTATTGATTTAATTAGTGGATCACTGGTTGAACTGCATGATATGATGATTATATATAAATCTATAATTTATGTTAAAATATTATAAACATACTCAAATAGTTAAAAATAATTATATAAATTATAAATATTTTAATATAAAAAATAATAAATTATATATTATTGTCCAATAAAGAATCAAACAAACATATAATCCTTGTGATACTGGCATTTCAGGTTCAGTAAATGACATCTCTAACTAAAAATCAAATCAAAATTCTCTATATAGTGCGTAACTGAAATAATATTAGTACTGTAGGTACATAACCTATGTAAGTCAATAAGCAACCGATTACTCAAATATGTCAATTATGAAAAAAATTGGAACTTTTTTTTTGAAATATTTTTTTGAAATAAACCGAGCCGGGTCACTAATTTTCACCAAAATCGGCCGGTTCATATCGGGTCTGGTACTTGGTGATCCAATGTAATAATCGGATCGGTCAGATGACCAGTTCATCGAGTTCCGGGTCGACCCGGCCGATCTGATTCCTTTTTTTACAACATTGGTTGGGACCACCACATCCAATGTTGAATCATGGTGAAAAATTTACGGTATTCCGTTTTAGCACTGACTCGATGCGACAAGCTAATCAAAATAAGACTTTCTGTTATGTGTATACGAAAAAGAGGGAAGATTTTTTTTTAATCCAAATATCAAATTTTTAATGAAAGTCGTAGTTACACTAAATATACCACAAATGCTCTCAATTCGTAGGTGTTTATTCCATTACATGATTGGTGGTTCCTTTTTATTTATTTATAATATGTATATGTATGATAATTGAATTTTTGACTCAATTAATGTAACTTTAAAATAAAATATTAAATTAATGCAAAAATCAAATATTACAGTATCAAGTCACGCGCAACTAATGCATAACCCGGGCGTGTCTTGCAGCTGTTCATGTGCAGATGTACATTCTCTCACACAATTCAAATGCACATACCTTAATACATATGTAACATATCTTATTATATTATTTTAATAAAATATTTAGTTTTTATTTTAATTAAGTAAAATCTTTCAAAGTTGCATTAATTCAATAAAAAAAACCTACTATGATTGATTGATTAGTATGTTATTTCAATTGCGTAGTTCATATATAAAAATCAGACATAGGAAACCTTAATTTTGTATGGAGACATCGTATTTCCTATATTGGAATGGTGGCCACTAGTATGGTCAATCATCAATTTCTAAATATAGAACCAGTTAATAGAAGGCCATAATTCTAAAATCCTAGTAAGTAGAGACAAAGATACAGGAAAAATCACATGATACCAATATCTGAATACAAAAAATTCTAAAAATTACAAGAGAATTGTGCAGCAACCTAGACTACCTTTGAAAGCATTTTGAAGTATCTGTGAATCCTAACTAAGACTACATTTGAAAAAGGCTCCATATACATCCCCTATTATTTATCCCTACATATGATGTACACTAGCCCAAACTGGAAAGCACAAGTAAGAAGGGATGCCACCGTTAAAAGGTGAAATTAAACTGTTTTTTGTCTGAGTATTCATATCATATACGGTGCTTTCTCCATCCATACTTGGCTCGTGAAGACAATGGTAATGGCCTGTCAACATATTCTGCATTCAAATTCTTCATTTCAAAATTGTATGGGTTTATGTGGGCATGATGGCTATCGCTGGACACCAGATGTTGTGATTTAGATTTGAATTCACCGACCTGAGGCCTGAAAGGTGGGTACCCTGTCATATTTGGAATTAGGTCTCTCTCGTAATAAGAGAGTTCCCTTGGTTCATTCCTGTTTTGAGAATTCACTTGAGATTGGTACGAACTTTGTCCATAACTAGCATATAATGCTTCATTCCTAAAAGATGAAAATCCTGTCATATTTGGACCTAGGCCTCTCTGGGAATAAGAGAATTGGCTTGGTTCATTCCTGCTTCGAGAATTTACTTGAGACTGGTATGAACTTTGTCTATGACTAGCATATGATGGATAAATTGGAACTTTATACTGGTCATATTCAGCAGGCTTATGCCCTCCCCTTGTAGATATGACGGCTCTTGAAGATGCATTCTTCTTCCATGTTGCTTGTGCTGATGAGGTAGCCTCTTGAGATTGAAAGTCATTTGCTCTTCTGCAGCCATCAACGTTCCTAACCTTACCTAGTTCACACGATCTTCCTTTTTGGGATCGTTTTGTATTCTGGATTTCATGCTGCCGTTTGGAACCTAACAATTGTAACATACGAGTGACATAAGTTATCAATGAGATGGAAAACTGTAAGACAGAGCAGCACAAATCCATCCACCAACGTCAAAAACTACCCTTAGATCCACTTGCATAAGAGCCTTTATTTTTTTGTTTCACTGCTCTCACAAACCTCGCTGCTGCACCTCGTCTGTGCTTCTCAGAAAGCACTTTAACTCTATCAGCTTCATTTTCCCATCTCTAAAGCATGAAGAGCAATAAAAACAAATAGTAACATCCTGAAGTAGAAAAAAAGAAAGAAAATAAATGCTTGCATAAACTGATTGATACCTGTCTGTAAGTTTTCTGTTTATAGAGATTGCGGCCCTTTACAAGCAAAGGAAAAAGTGGAGGCAATCTCCTAACTCCGCTACTCCACATCACCTCAACCTGCAAGACATAGATGAAGACTTTGAATTAGCAATGAATCATTTGTTAGTGTACCTTGAGAATAAGTCAAAGATGTGGTTCACTGTTTTCAATAAGTGAGTGCCCAACCACTCTATGATTTTCAGCAACCACTCCAATCACTTTCACACATTTTCAACAACAACTCCACAACGGTCAAAAAATCCCGACAGCCATATTTTGAGCACATCACCATTAACTGACACCTTGATGGTAAAGGTCTATATATATGGTGTGACTTCAGAATTTTTGGGTCCTTGAACTCACTCTTGGATTAATCTATATACCACTTGTGCCTGAGAGCTAGAGTTTGGAAGACTCACAAATAAAATACATACAACTTCAACCCACCTTCAGAGCAAGAAAGGAAAGCGATGGCAGTAGGTATTTACGACTTAGTTTTTCCGCATTTGATCTAATTGCTTCTGTTATGTATGAGCATGATTAGATCATAAAGTTATGTTAGAACTTACATTTGGTATTAGAGCCCTCTTTGCCTCTGCCTTGCGTTTGCGTGCTTGGTTGTGCCTTAATTAATTTGATTTTTCAAATTAATATTTAGTGCCTTGTAAATGAAATTAGAGTGTGGTATAGAGATTTCTGGACAAAAATCATGAATTTTTATACAAAAATGACCAAAAACCATTGGGTTTTTATCCTGGGTCGGAGCAACCCGGCCCGGCTGAAGGTTGAAGATGACATTGTTGTCACTTTACATGAATCATAATTTTTGTTACTGCTCACCTTTGTCAATGTGCCTGAATCACAGTTTTGGTTTCACATTATTGTTTCACCTTTTGGTTTTTGTGAAACATTTAATTTATTTGTGACATAGTAGTTAATTGCGCCACAATAGCACTGCGAGCCGCGCCGTATGGGCATTGCGGTGCCTTGCCGCAAGAAATCGCGACGCGCCGTTTCGGAACGCAATAGCGGCCATTGCGATCGTATTTGTGGCCATATTGCTGTCATAAGGCAAAATGTCAATTTTGTCCTAAATTTAAATGTGTAACAGAAAAAATTTAAGGGTTTTTTAGCCTATCCGCGTCTCTCTCTGTCACTTCTGTTATCTCTGCCTTTAAAAAATGTTTCTTTTTGTCATTATTTCTGTTATATATCTATTCCGTTATTTCCGCAACCACAACTCGCTATAACGCTATAGCGTTTTTCAGGGTTGGCCGCAACATGCCGCAATCCGCATTTGATAACTATGATTTATGATACCTTTTGGATTTTTGTGAAGCACCTTTGTGGATATTTGGTTCAGTGTCTTTGCTAACACTGTTGGTGACTTATGCAAGGTTTTATTTTTGGATTTTTGTGGCTTGTTACTATTCCTGTTAGATGAATTGTTTAGTTTCAATGAAACTTTTTGGTAAAGCGTTAAACACTGTGCCTAGAAATTGTGGTTCACATCATGGTTTCAATGAATAATTTCATATCACTATTTCGTTGCTTTATTTCCATTGCCTTATATTTTTGTAATATTTTCACGTACCTTGGTTTTGTTCCAATATTTTGGTGTCACATTATTGTTCGTGACTTGAAACTAATGTTAGTGCGAATTAGATCACTTCCGTTTCACTGATTTCCGTGAATCACTTTGAAATTTATGATTTTTTACTGTTCATGTGTTGCTGTATTTAGTGTTAGTGACTTTTGAATTTTGTTGTGTTACTATTAACGTGAATCAAGTTTAGCAATTTTATGATATATATCCACATGAATTATTATTATTCAATCATTACATGTATTAATTCATGTCACTCTATTAAAATGATTCATGTGAATGTTTAATTATTTAATACTATTGCTTATGGTTAATTGCAATAATATAATAAAGAATATTTACTGATCTATATAATTTAATTAATTAAAACTTAGACACAACAACTTTAATTATTTAAATTATATATTAAGAGCCTCATGATCACATAAGGTAGATGATATTAATTGTAATTAGTCATATATAATATAATAGATATCATCTCATAGGAATTTCTATTAAAATTTTGTATGATTAATTAGGATAAAATATTAAATTATATTTTTTGATTTGCCCACTTGGATCAAGAAATATGATTTGATTGTTTTATCTTGATGTTTATATGAATTTAATTGAATTAAAACTTTAGCCCACAGTCAAATTTTATGTCGCTAAATTCATAATTGTTTGAGCATGATTTACATTGATAAAGCATGATATATATTATTTTTGTCTCAAATTTTAATGATAAACATATATGTTGAATATTTTATAGCTATAAAGCATATTCCGGAATTGAAAGGGGATAATTACCCTATTTGGAAGGAAATGATTCTATTGACATTAGGATATATGGACATTGATTATGCTATCAGGAAAGCTGAACCACCAACAATTACGGAGAACAGTAAGCTAGAAGATGTGGATCTGTATGAAAAATGGGAAAGATCCAACCAACTCTGTGTGATGTTCATTAAGACAAATATCAGCTGGTATTAGGGGTTTGGTGGAAAAGTATGATAATGTGAGAGTGCTCCTGAAGTCCACTAATGAAGAGTTTGAGACTTCAGGGAAGGCATTGGCCAGTACCCCTTAATAATGAAGTTTTCTTCCATGAAGCGCACTACTCTGAGGGATGTGCGTAAGCACATCATGTAGATGAGAGACATTGCGGCTAAGTTGAAAACTCTGGAGGTGGATATGTCTGACTTTTTTCTTATCCACTTTATTCTAAATACTCTCCCAGCACCATATGGTTCCTTTAAAATCTCCTACAACACACATAAAGACAAATGGTCTATCAATAAACTCATGACCATGTGTCTTCAAGAGGAGGGGAGGCTGCAATTGAAACAATGAGAGAATTCACTAATGACGACTGAAATGAAGGATAATAAGAAAGGTTATAAGAACAAGAGAAGTGGCAAAATACCACCCCAAACTGGAATTAAGAAAGAATCCAGATGTTTATTCTATAAAAAGAAGGGGCACATAAAGAAAGGTTGTTCTAAATTCAAGCTATGGTTTGAAAAGAAAGGTATATCTACCTCTTTAGTTTGTTATGCATCTAATATGATTAATCTTAATCATAACACAAGTGGATAGATTCTGGTTCTACAATCCATGTTTCGAATACATTGCAGGGTATGAAAAACCTAAAGAAACCAATGGGAAATGATCTATACATCTATTCAAGAAGTAAGATGAGTTCATCTATGGAGGCTATCGAGAACTACAATTAGATTGTAAGTAGTGGTTTTGAATTTGGAAAAGACTTTTTATATTCATAGTTTTTCTAAGAAATTAATTTCAGTTGAGACTTATACCTTTTGGTTATTCCTTTTCATTTTATGAGACATCTTTCAGTTTGTTTTATAAATCTAAGTCTGATGGGAATGCTACATTGTCTGATGGTCTTTTCTATATTAATGTTGGCACGAAATGATGTGTTATGAATGAGGATTCTTCTATGTTGGGGCATCGGAGATTGAGACATATCTTCATTCAGAGAATTAAGAGATTAGTAAATGATGGAGTACTTAGTACTTTAGATTTTGCTGATTTTGAAACTTATGTAGATTGCATTAAGGGAAAGCAAACAAACAAGTTCAAAAAGGACGCCAAGAGCTATACCAAACTATTAGAAATTATACATACAAATATTTGTTATCCAGACATGAACGCATGTGGTGAGAAATACTTCATCTCTTTTATAGATGATTATATTATTGCAATTAACCATAAGCAATAGTATTAAATAATTAAACATTCACATTAACCATCTTAATACTACATTTATAGAGTGACATGAATTGATACATGTAATGACAGAATAATAATAATTCATGTGAATGTATATAATAAAATTGCTAAACGCAACAAAATTCAAAAGTCACTAACACTGAATCATGAAAAGTAAGACATGAATAGAAACAACATCAGAAATTTTAAAGTAATTTACGGAAATTAGTGAAATGGAAGGGATCCAATTCACACTAACACTAATTTCAAGTCACGAACACTAATGTGACACAAAAATATTGGAACAAAACCAAGCCCAAGGCACATTTCACGCAAATGTTACAAAAAAATAAGGCAGTAGAAAGAAAGCAACGGAATAATGATCTGAAATTATTCATTGAAACCATGATGTGAACCACAATTTCTAGGCACAATATTTCACACTTTACGAAAAAGTTTCATTGAAACTAAACAATTCATCTAACAGTAATAATAACAAGCCACAAAAATCCAAAAATAAAACCTTGCATAAGTCACCGACAGTGTCAACAAAGACACTAAACCAAATAGCCACAAAGGTGCTTCACGAAAATCCAAAAGGTATCACAATTAAATTAAATGTTTCACAAAAACCAAAAGGTGAAACAAAACTGAAATAGTAACATCAAACCAAAACAGTGATTCACACACACGGACAAAGGTGAGAAGTAACAAAAATCATGATTTATGTAAAGTGACAAATGTTATCTTCAACCTTCAGCCAGGTCGCTTCAACCCGGTTTCGACCCAGTATAAAAATCCAATAGTTTTGGTAATTTTTGCATAAAAATTCATGTTTTTTGTCCAGAAATGTTAGAAATCTTTATACCACATGATTTCTAACTCTAATTTCATTTACAAGGCACTAAATATTAATTTGAAAAATCAAATTAATTGAGGCACAACCAAGCACGTAAACGCAAGTCAAAGGCAAAGAGGGCTCTGATACTAAATGTAAGTTCTAACATAGCTTTATGAACTAATCATGCTCATACATAACAGAATCAATTAGATCAAATGCGGAAAAATTAAGTCATACATACCGCCTGCCATTACTTTTCTTTCTTGCTTCGAAGGTGGTTTGAAGTTGTATGTGTGTTCTTTGTGAGTCTTCCAAACTCTAGCTCTAAGGCACAGATGGTGTATAGCATTAATCTAAGAGTGAGTTCAGGGACCTCAAAGTCTGAAGCCACACCATAAATATAGACCCTTACCATCAAGGTGTTAGTTAATATTGATGTGCACAAAATCTCAGCTGTTGGGATTTGTTTGGCCTTTGTGGATAGTTGTTGAAAAAGTGTGAAAATAATTGGAGTGGTTGCTGAAATATCAATGGAGTGGTTGGGCACTCAACTGTAGCTGAAAATCACTGGACCACATCTTTGACTTATTCTCAAGGCACAATAACAAGAGAGCCATTGCACTGCTTAGCTCGCAGGAGCACATATCACCAAGTAATTTGTGTCCGAACAAAAGGCCAAAGGTGTAATACAACAGGTGTCTCTTTCATGAATCAAATTCATTCCAGTAAACTTTAGACTCACAGTGAACGTATGTTGTTGTTTAGCTGCACCGTAACTTTCCTTCACAACCCTCCCTGCAACAGTTCTGTTTCCCATACGTCTTCCATGCCGAGTCACTTTGTCAAACCTGGTGAAATATATAATTGACTTGTAACAAAAGAATACTTTAGGAGTAGAAGAAAAATCATTTATTGAAAAAGATAACAGAAACACAATACTTTTCATAGACCTTCTGTCTGAACAGAACAACATCTCCCTTGCAGACATCACCTGAGGAAAGTGAGAAGACTACTATTTATTAAAAGAATGATAAGAGTAAGGTAGAAGAAAGAAAAAGATAAGAACAATTTACCAGTACAATTAATGGCAAAGGACGATCTCGGGTACAGTGTGTACCCACTTCCATGTTTTAACCTGAGATATCAAAATAGTCCCTTCGTAAAACAACGTAAGGAGGGAAGCATAATAACTCAAAATCAAAACTAGCAAGTCCTATATTCTTTAGAAAGAAGCAGCATCTAACTCTCATTTTTTCGGTTTTAGCTTTGTCTTTGGGAGGAGGGTGGTTAATGGATATGACGCACCTTTATCTTAGAAATAACTATAGGAAAAATACAATTTCTTTTGCGGAAGTAAATTGAAGAAAAAACCATCAACCAAAAAAAAGAATGAAAATGAAGACATCTACAAATCATTAGATTTGCCATTTCATACAAAATTTCCATGTCCTGAAGTTTGCTCGCATCTCTCACTATCTTACAATTACATGTCCTCAATCGACATTTTTCCAGTGGTGTCAGCTAGAGCTAGGTATCAACACCAAATGCACGATTCTACAATGCCAAGACCAAGCATATTTAATTTAGCATAAAACTCTGAAACCTAGAATCCAATTAAAACCTTGACTAAATCAGATAATCCAATATTCTAAAAACAAAGCTTCTTTACTAATTACTTCACTTTCGAAGGGGAAAAAAAAAAAGGCATCGCAACTATCAGCGGAAATACATGTACATGTAGACATCACAGAAGGGGGTTGAAAGAAAGAACAAGTCAAGACTCAAAAGTCACTAAACATTATACATGAATAGATTGCCTGAATCGGAAACCATTACCTCCAATGCTCCCTTATCCTCGCAACACAAACTGCTCTATTTCCCGCTAGCCTCAGGCCATGTTTCCGTAGATACGCTTTGCATTCGTTTAATTTCAAGGATTCTATATCATTTCCTTCTGGAAAATCAAATATTTGAAATTAATGAAATTGATCAACACACTATTATTAACTTTGTTAGTTAAATTAAAACCTTGAAGGAGGGCGACAACTTTGTCGGAGAGGGAGGAATCATCAATATCACTGTCATTGGCATCTGATTCGGATTCGGACGCTTCATCGCTATCGCTACATTCATCTTCTTCTTCGCGGTCATCATCCTCATCTTCTTCAGAGGAGGAGAGAACAATCACTACTCCCTTTCCCCTCGGGTCACCCATTCCTTGTAATGGCAATCAATTAACCCGCACGCCCGGGTATTTATTCATATAAAATTATTTGAAAAACAAAATTACATTTTATTAATAATATATTAATGTTTAATAAATTAAAGGAAAAATTTCATTTACACTCATTGTAGTTTTGTGATTTATTATTTGACTTTTTATGGTTTTAAACTTATCACTTAGATCCATTGTGTTTAAATAATTTATCATTTAACCCCTCGTGATTTCAAACTTTCACTTAGACACCTTGTGGTTAGAAAAAGATCATTTGTGGTTACAAAAATAATTTTTTTTAAAAAAATATTTAAAATAAATGTTCTCTCAATTTCATTTTATATCCTCACCTAATACATTTAGGGTTTAAAAAATAAAAAAGAATTCAATTATCTATTTTTAAAAAATTATAAAATTCACTTATTTTTATCAAGAAAATAAATTCAAATCAAATATTATTTTATTTTATCTATTTTTTATTCTGTATCGTTATAAAATTATTAAAGAAAGTAAATATCTTATTTTGATAATACATATTTAATTTATCTTAAATAATATTTTTTAATTTCAAATATATTTTAAAAAATAAGATAATTCATAAATTAATTTTGGAATAAATAACTTGAAATATTTTTTAAACCATAAACACATTACATGAGGATATAAAATAAAAAAGGAGAAAATTTATTTTTAAAAATATTTATTTTTTAAACCACAAGGTGTCTAAGTGACATTTTTGTAACCACGAGGGGTCTAAATGAAAATTTAAAACCATAAGAGGTTAAATGACAAAATATTCCACATAGTAGGTCTAACTGATAAGTTTAAAACCATAATGAGTCAAATGATAAATCACAAAACCTCAATGGGTGAAAATGAAGTTTTTCCTAAATTAAATAAAAATATTGTATGGGATTACTCTTTGTCGACTAAGTTTGTGTCCTTTTAGCTACTTACAACTATATATCCTGAGAGTATATATTATAATATTAAAATTATATTTTTTTCACTTCCACGTCAGCCGAAATAACTATATACTCCTTGGGTATACAGTTATAAGCAATTAAAATGACACAATTTACATCTTTTAAAATAACAAACAATTACCAAAAAAAAATTGACAAACAATTTTCTCATTTTATATATCATAAAAGATAAATATTCATTAAAATAGTCTACAAGTATCTACAATAGTAATTTATTTGTATATTTATTCTATACAATAAAAATAAAATAATTTATAATAATATAAATTTGAATTATTAATGGATGTAATATGAATATGAAACATTATATATATAATTATGCCAATCAAATTGACTACCAGAGATAGCCCTGAAAGCTGCAGAGTGGCACTGGGCTTGATCGCGATCCCTTTTAGCTCAGTTTTTACGATTTGTTACTTATGGCGTGATTTTTCAACTCTTTCGACAATCACACACTATCAACGCCCCTCTGACTACAACTAAGGGTGTCAATATAGGTTATGACCCGCGACATGACACGAAAATTCGTGTTTAGGTTGAACCGCAAAAAAAATTGTGTCGTATTGAAAAAATGATACGTAAAAAATTCGTGTCATGTTCGTGTTCGTGTTGACCCATATTTTTTAATTATTTTTTTTTTATTTTTTAATTATTATTTTTTTAAAAAAATTAATTTCGACCCATTCTTTTTTAAATTTTTTTATCAATTACTGTTTTGACCCCTATTTTGCGTGTTATTCGTGTCGTGTCAATCCGCACAAAATTCATATCGTGTTAGTGTTGAAGATTTTGACACGAATAAAAATTCGTGTCATGTTTGTGTTGATGTATTTGTGTCGTGTTAAATTCGTGTCGTGTCACACATTTTGACACCCCTAACTACGACATAGAAAAAGGAAGAGATCTAATTAAGCTCCTTTTATTAAGGTGTTACTGGTTATTGATATCGAAGCCACTATTTTTCCCTACTCATATACGGATGTGAAATTATTCCCATTTCCTTTGTCTTGTAAGACCCCGGACATTGTTAGCAATATCTATAATTTTAGTGCAATAGTCATCAGAGGATAGAGGTACTTCACATGTCCACTTTTAATTATTAACATGGTTAGCACCTTTAAATGATTATGATTATCCAAGAAAAACAAAATTACAAATTCCTAAAAGCTACAATAACGCTGAAAGCCCAAAGAGCCCTAAAAACTTCTTTCATTCAGCTCAGGATGCAAGACAATGAATTTGCAGGTGGACAAGAATTATACTCCTCAATTGTGAATCACAGAACATGTTACAATTTACGTGTATCCTTCTAAAAACAACCCGATATATTCTCACCCGCAACTTAACACACTACAGCTTTACAGTGGAAAATTCAAACGCGTGTAGCAGGCTTCACACTTGCTCCAAGTGGTAAACAAAAATTAAATAAATAAACAAAGACTCGAGCCTTATAAAGGGGTTAAAAAATCCAAGATGATATATGCTGAGCCTCAATGTGACAAACAATCCATTGACGATAGGGTTGTGAATATTGTGATGTGGCCATTAGCATTTTATTAGCCAGATCATCGTAGTATAAGTATTTGGCCCACCAAAGTTTCTATTGAGCTTTTACAAGACTTCTAGATGGGCCATGCAGCAATTTCACAAATCCAAGGAAGCTTAACTTTCCATCCGTGTGCCGAATCCAGTCATGAAGAACAGCATGAACAGGGACAGATGGACCAAGCCCAAGCTCCTGATTATTAGGTTAAAACTAAATATGAGAAATGCATTTGCTTAACTATAAATTTAACCATATCCAAGTCAAATCAAATTATCACATACTGCTAATAAAAAGACATCATAGGTTAACCCATAAACATTACATCAACTGAAACTAGTTTCTTGCTAAACCCCTACACAAATATTGAAATTTATATTCAATCAATTTAAAAACTACTAGGCATTACGTAAATGTAACTTGAACAACATTATGAAGAATGAAGAAAATTAATATATTGATGTCATAATGCAACACAACGAAAGTGTGAAATAGATCAATATCTTCATTTATATGATAATCAACATGGTAATATTATCAGTATAAAGATAAAGGCATGTATGCATAAACTATCATCATAGTCAAATCAAACATACCGAAGCTAGTTCCTCAATGACTATAGCCTTGTTTCCATCCTTTTCAAAAAGTTCATAGGCACAACGAGCAATGTGCTCCCACCCGTCAAGTGCTTCAAATTGATGAACACTAAGTGCGGCAGCACAGAACTCATCAAAATCCATCCTTCTATATTGCAAAGCATTAAGCTGCCACACAAATTATTTATATCAATAACCACTATGGGTACAAAACGCCATTTAAATCATTTATAGAGGAATCTTATAGTTAAATCATAGCACTTACTGATGCCAGAAAGTCAGTAACGCGTGACTCTTTCATAGCATCCGTTGCATTTATCATCAAGGCCTGGCCATCTCAAATTTGTGAGATGACAAACACTTTCCTCTTAATAAAGTATATAAAAAGAATTTGAAACAAAACCAACCTCTTTGATATTTTCCAAGCTAATGGTACCATTTTTGTTTGGCCCTAAAAGTGCAAACTGCTCTTTAAAATAAAAAAGCTCATCAACGGTTAACGTCTTAGACAGAGCCTGTTCAATGCCCATGAAAATAGCAATCTAAGTTATTCAGAAGCATGTATACTATCGCATGATAAAAAAAATAAAAGAAAGAAAGAAAGGCAACAAGAACAAACAAAATAACAGAAAGAAGCACTTAAAATTGCAATGCTCTAGTCACACCTAATGGTTTGAAAGAAAACAATGTATATGTAGGACTTTTGCAATGTCTTAACTTCAAACTTCCAAAAAGCATTTCATTTGTAGATAAAATTTGAATCTGCCTAGTTGGAAAGACTACACAGAAATCAACAGGTTTGGTACTCAGATGATTCAGGCAACAATCACCTTGCTTGGCCGGAATTCAAATAATAACTTTAAAATAAATTCTGGGATATGTAGTACACCTACTAATAGGTTAATTATGAGTATGAGACTGATAGCGAGCACAGTTGCAGTAGTGGAAATTAATAGGGACAATACCAAAGGATAATAGGACATACAGTTCATCACAGGCTCTTTTCCATCCAATATCAGGTTTTTAAAAGCAGGCAAAGTTTTAAATAAATAGACACACCCTTATAGCTGCTTTTCGCAGAGATGAGGATCGCATGTATGCCTTCATGAGCTTGAATATTAGAATATCCAGAGGCACTTTAACATCTTTATAGATTCTAATCCATGGATGACCTGCAGTACACAATGGTAAGTAACAAAATAGAAATATAAGAACGAGAGCCAGCAATGATTGCTGAGAAACTCACTTAATGCCTGTGCTGCAGTCATTCTTTTCCTTGGATCTTTATTTAGTAATCGCTTAACAAAACTCCTTGCTTCAGCTGACAAAGAAGGCCAAGGAGGTTCATCAAAACTTGGATCAGCTTTCAATACAGTGCGAAAGATACCGGACTCGGTCCGGGCCCAAAATGGACGGCTGCCACATAATAAAATATATGCAATCACTCCAATACTCCAGACATCAGCCTCTGTACTGTAAGCTCTATGTAGAACTTCAGGAGCCACGTAGTATGCACTACCAACAATATCATTAAGTCTTTCATCTGGAAAGAACAATGGAAAGTTGAAAAACAAAGCAAGTCTAAGATAATAAATGGCATGCAAAATAAGAAAAAGGAATAAAAACATACCTGGTTTAACAAAATCAGACAACCCAAAGTCTATGGCCTTCAGCTCTGAGTTCTCATCCTTGGATGTGAACAAAAAGTTCTGATCCAAAAATTAGTTATACTTAGAAGTTAATGCTTGATAAGAATTAGAAGACAAGTCCCATATACCAAATCAAACAAGATCACAACCATCTTATAGCTTAATTGTATAAGATGATTATCAACAAATGTATGTAGAGTAGAAGGAAGAGTAAATTTCCTTCTTATAAATGCCATTGAAAAGTGTGAATGATGCATCAGAAATCATGTTTTTCCCTTTTGTGTCGGTTGATATCTTAACCTAACACACTATTACAGTATTACTAAATATGTCATAAAAGAGTAAAAGTTTACGTCCATAGATGATGAAATCTTTTCCCAAAGCTCCTATTTTCTTTTTCTATCCCCCTTTTCCCCCCAAAAAAGATAAGTAAATTTTCAAACATAAAAGGAAAAGCCTTTAGATGCAGGGGGGAAAGAAGAAGAAAAAATTACAAGCATATTTCACCTCAGGTTTAAGATCACGATGCACAACACCCTGTAGATGGCAAAAAGCAACAACGTTCAGTATTTGTCTCAGGACAGCTTTTGCATCCTCCTCTGTGTATTTGCCACCTCTGAAAAAACAAAGAGGTAATCTCATAACCATCAAACACAATATCGCCTCTTTCAATCAATTCCACTTATCCCCAATTTCCATCGTCAGAATCCCAATTGTAATCATTCAGAAGAATGTATAAATGGAAACCCCATTGTACAAAGCTCCCCGACTTTGTGAGAGTAGGAGTGAAGGTCGATTATACGTGACCTTACCCTTACATTTTTGCAAAGAGCCCAAACTCAAACCCGCGATCTTCTTATCACAAAGGAGCAACCTTATATTTAAATAAACAAATACCTTGATAATATTCTGTCCAACAGCTCTCCTCCTTCACACAATCTGAGAAATGTGTAAGAGTTTAAAAAAAAAAAAAAACTGTTATTTATAGAGATTCATTAAATTAATTGTCCTTCTGCTTAATTATCCAGCAAAAGAGGACAAATAATCTTGGTATTATAAATCAAATGGTCACAAAAGATGAAATATAACATTTAACTTAAATCAACAACGTAATTAAAGCTTACTCCATTACTATATAGACATTATCATGGTCTTCATATGCATCATAGAACTGTACTAGATTCTTGTGTCCAGTCAAAGCTCTTAATATTTGTACTTCTCTTCTCACATCCTCAATAGCAATAGCAGTGGTCATCTACAATTAAAACATACAAATTAAAATTGATTATTATATAGATTTAATAAATAAAATGTATATTTTGTGCACGAACCATATGACTAACTTTGCTTCTTCTTCTTTTCTTTTTTTTCAAGAAAGACAAATTATTATATAATTCAAAGAGGCTAGAGGTGTCTAAATCAATAAATTACAAGTAAAAGGTATAAATAGACAGCGATAAATCACAAATGCTGTTAAAGATCCAATACATGGAACTGTAACAAATTAGCTTCTTGACAGTTTCGGTAACAATCATATTAACAAAAGTGAAAAATATTCCGAGTAGCAGGAATTAGTTCAAATAGGGATAATAAATAATTATTGCATTGCATGTGAATGTGAATGTGAATGTGAATGTTGTTGGAAACCTTGGCTTTTGGAATGACTTTGACGGCCACTTGTTGACCTTTGAGCTCTCCTTTCTTAAGCGTGGCAACACAGGTGTATCCAAAATGGCCTCTCCCAACCTCATCTCCAAGATCATATTTGTTTCCGAAATGCTTCGAGAATCCGAAGTTCTTGTCGAGCCCAGCGACCACCTCCGATTCGACGGCTTCCGGTATCGGAGCCTCATTAGGCTTCGACGAACCATGCCGCCGAGCCAGCAAGGATCTTATATGCTTCGCCGGAGACGGCGGCGGGAACGGCCGCTTGAAAAACCGCATCGGCGAGCTACCGTTCGCCGGGGACTTCTTGGAGAACAAATGGTGAGCCGGACTCGGACTGTAAAGCGGGAAAAATGGAGATTTTTTACCATTCTCTGGCTCTTTGTTCTCCTTGTTAGGGTTTTCGCCATTGACGGAATTGGAGTGAGGTTCAGCACTGTGATTAACTGTGAAGGAGTTGTGTTGAGGCTGTGGGGGGTCGTTCCTGGGTGAGTGATTGTCGGATTGGCGAAACGAAAGAGTGTGATTTGAAGAGGGTTTCGAATTGCAGAGACCCATTCGATTTCTTCAACCTCCCACAAAAACATACAGTGTGGTGGCTTGAAGTCAAAGCATTGCATGTAATTTTAGCCAACAGAATTCGAATGAGGTTGAAAGCCTTGGTCGTGGAGCTCTTCCAGGGGAATTGAAATAAAGGTTTTGTGAGAATTGAGGTTGGTTAGGTTCGTTGCTCATTAAGATTGTTTGAGAATGGTGGGTACTGAGAGGAGAAGAAGAAGAGAGCAATAAAGAAAAAAAAAGGTATCTTATAAAAAAAGAAAATTAATAAAAGAAAAAAAGGAAATAATGAGAGTTTCGGTTTTGTTGCAACTAATTTGGCGATCGATTGATTAAGATTAATAAAAATAAAAAAAAAAAAATAAAATAAATAAATAAAAGGTTTATGCTTAATGATGCCGTGATAGTTTGTTGGGAGCTGGGGGGAATGTGGGTGCCGGGCCCAGCCATTATTCTCTTATTTATTTTTCTATCTATGCAATATAGGTAATATAGACTCAATATATGGAAAGTACCAGGTGGGTTTTTTTTTTTTCTTTATTATACATGGGTAATTTAGATTGATTATTATTCATCCATGCAATAAATCTTGGTTTTTTTAAAGTAAATTTCTTCCTAACTGATTTTTTAATTATTAAATAAAAAAATACTGAACATTTTTTAAATTTCTAAGTATTAAATGTATTTTGTTTTATTTGATATTAAGCATTAAAAATAATGTGATAATAATATAACAAAACACTTTATGTTTTAGGGGAGGTTATATTTATTTTATTTTTCTTACCATTTTTTACTATCAATTTTGTTATTGTTAGATCAAAATCAAATCAATTGTTACAAAATAACATCAAGTGAAAGTCATAATTTGATTTTGATTCAATAATAATAAGATTTGTAGTGTTATGGACTCATACATGAGGCTCATTTATTACTAAGCCCAACAACAAGAGACAACCCAAATATAAATATGATATAATTAAGAGAGAATATCCATCAAAGATATCAATCCAATACGACAGCATTAAAGGTGGGTTTGGGCTACTAGAAGAAAAGAGGCACAGAAGGTCCAGAATCCAATACTCACATGTAGGCAAAAAAATTAAAATAATATTTTTTATTAAATAATTGCGCATTTATTGCAATTTTAGGAAAAATTACGGATCTATTGCACACTGTGACGCCTCATTGAGGCATCTCACCCTAAGGGAAATACGCCCAAACGGGACATCTCTTGTTGACACGTGTCACTTTTTTTTTCAAAAAAAATAATAATTTAATCATAAAACTTTTAAAGGCCATAACTTTTGACTCGAGTATCCAAATCAGGTAATTCTTTTTTTGATTCCACATAACTTTTCGAGATCTATGCAATGACAACCATTTGATATATTTTATTTCTCACCAACATAATTTAAATTTAAATAAGGTACTCCTTCTTCCTTAGATATTTAGAATATTTATTTAATTATTTCCTTTATTAATACAGATTTTTCAAATTGATTTTTGAGTTTAAATCACAAATAAAATCTTTATTTTGTTTTCCTTATTAATAATAATTGTTACTTTTACTTTAAATCACAAACCAAATTTTTTTAATTTAAATCACACATCAAATCTTGATTTATTTTTTGTGTTAAATCACAAACGCAGAACTTAGAGGCTTCTGAGTTTAAAAATGTGACATGTGTCAACACTTGTCAAAACCTAACACATCACCAATCACGTCTAAATTGGGTTTCAATCAAGAAACAATCACTCCTAATTTAGGTAATTTTATTTTTGAAAAACATTCATAAGTCATCATTAATTTCAGACCACTAATAATAACCCAGAAGCTTATAGCATTAATCATTAATTTTGAAAATAATATCCTTCTTCCTTAGAAATTTAGAATATTTATTTAATTATTTTCTTTATTTCTACAGATTTTTCAAATTGATTTTTTAGTTTAAATCACAAATCAAATCTTTATTTTGTTTTCCTTATTAATAATAATTTTTATTTTTATTTTGAATTTAAATCACAAACCAAATTTTTGTTATAATAAAAAAAATATTATAAAAAAAAATTAAATCACAAATCAAAATTTCATTTATTTTTTTATATTAAATCACAAATCCATAACTCAGAGGCTTCTGGGTTTAACCGCTCTTATAATACCATTCTGGTAAATTAAAATTGTGTTTTTGAGAAATAAAATATGTCAAATAAGGTGTCATTGCGTAGATCTTGAAAAGTTATATGGAATCAAAAAAAGAATTAACTGATTTGGATATTCGAGTCAAAAGTTATGGCCTTTAAAAATTTTATGATTAAATTAATTTTTTTTTTGGAAAAAAAAGTGACACGTGTCAACACCTCATGAGAGACGCCTCATTTGGGCGTCTTCCCCTTAGGGTGAGACGCCTCAATGGGACATCACAGTGTGCAATAGATCCGTAATTTTTCCCAAAATTGCAATAAATACGTAATTATTTAATTAAAAAACATTATTTTAATTTTTTGCCCTCACATGTAAACTCTATAAATAGTAGGTAAAACCTATAGTTATGATTATTCTCTCTATTTGTTATGTTGTCACCGTGCACACACATCATCCTTTTGACGAAAGTTGTTATTTACTCTTAGTTCACAGTTATCTACTAGACTCAAAGATATCTAACTCATAAATATCTTAGGGAGAGCACTTGATCCAACAGAAATCCACTAGTCCATTGGGCTAGACATTTTTATCTTCAGAAGAGAATATGTGATCAAAAATGATAAGAAAAAATAGTGATAACTATAACATATTCCTATATTTTAAGAGTAAAGATATTCTAACTACCAAAAATTCTTATTACTAACTTAACCCATCATATCACCATTGGATCAAAAAAAGATAATGTTAAAAAGTTTTTGAAGAAAGAGAAAATATTAATCTAACAGTGATTAGATAGATAGTAAGTTGGTAGTGAAAAATTTTAATAGAGAGAATATTCCTCCTCATATTTTAATGTTAAAAGAAAGAACGAACCTTGTATAAAAATCTAGGGAAAAGTTCACTAATGTCCCTGTAATTAGCTTCAGAATCACATAAGTCCCTGTGATTTTTTTTTTATCACATATGTCACTGTGTTTTGTAAAAAATAAAAAACCACAGATGCATAAGTGATTTTGAAGCAAACCACAAGAACATTGGTAAACTTTTTTTCAAAAATCTATTCTGCTAGCTTTGCCTTTTTCAAAAGCAACGATATTCTGTTTAAAAGACTCAATTACTCGAAAGAATTTAATCAGAATTAAAAGTTATTATTAATAAATTAAAGTGATGAAAACTATTCATCTATTTAAAAATAAATTATAATAATTTATTTTTCATTTTGATATTGCAGTAAACCTGGCGGACACGGTTTGGTTGATACAAATAATCAAACTTAATCCGCAAAAAAATTGTTATAATTTGGTTCTTTGATAGAAGTTAATCCAAATGATTGAGAAATAAATAAACAAATAAATTGGTTTGCTTTAGTTAATATTTCTTCTGAAAACCCAATTAAAATGATCATGACTCGTGACTCGTTGAGTACGTAACCTAATAATATGTCCACAAACATGCTTAAATTTTAATTTTTTGTGTGCAATTTAATAGTATTAGTTGACTCAATCGTTATATAAAACGTAATCTACTTCATTTAAAAAACGTCGTCATACTTGTGCACTAGAATTCAGCAAATCAATTTTTTAATGTGAAATGTCATACAAACGTTAATGTATGAACAATATATTTTTCAACTGTTTACTAGTAGTGTCCATGGATCCTTCCTCTGACTTTATTTTCAAATTTTACCATTTGAGAAGAAAAAAAATTGGGGGGGGGGGGGGATTGATTTTATTTTTTAGGGTTTGATTTTTCTCATATTGTATGAGATAAAATTATCTCCTAACACAAAGTGAGACTCATGTGAGATCATATAAAGAGATAAGAAAGAAAAAAAAAAAAAAAAAAACATATGGCCTCACATATTTTTAAGAGTATAGAAAATAAAAATATCCCCTATAACATGAGATACATTAAATCTTTATTTTTATTAGTCATAGTTTCCCCCTCCTACTAACAATTCACTTAATGGTTTTGGTATATTTTCAACAGTGACTAGTCATAGTAAGCTTAGTTTTATTATGGTGGCAATCCAATTGTTTATTCAAAATATTTTGATTTTGATAATATATATATATATATATATATATATATATATATATATATATATATGGTTAATTGGATGTTCTGACATATAATATAAGATTTTATTTTGTCACCCCTTATAACTATGCAGTGGCGGATCTACTTTGTGACAAGTGATCGTAAGTGTAGTTACAAACTTTTGAAAAAAAAAAGTTTTAGTTGTCTAACTAATGTTCCCACCGAAATAGCACCTGAATTGAGGGTTCCATTGAGTGATTTCTTAGATCGTTGAAAGCAACACAATTTTTTCGATGTCACTAACTCCTACCTTCGTTCCTTCCAAGTTGCCGTTGACCGTGCCACCATCGCCGAACAGCTTTACTCCATTGCCTCCTCGTAGATACGTGTCAATTCAAAGCTGCAAGCCAATGCCGATCAAACTAGAACCACCACACAATATCTAGCCAAGGCACCACATCCCTTCCATTGTTCAAAGTTGCCTTCACTGTGCCGTCCAAAAAGTGACAATCGACAATCCTTCTTTTTTAATTTATGGCTAGGTTAGGGTTTTTTTTTTTTTTTTTTTTTGCATATGGGTTAATGGCCATGTGGTAGCTGCATTAGGGTTGATTTTTTTTTTAAAAAAAATCCCCTGGGCCAATAATGTGGGCTTCTCATGGATATAAGGAGGGTCTTTTCTTTTCTTTTCTTTTTTCTAAAAAGGAGAGAAGTAATAAAAAAATGTATAAACCCAAAATTTAAAAGAAGAAGGATTGTGACTTTTTCCTTTTTTTCTTTTTTTCTTTTTTCCTTTTGGTAAACAAAAGACCTAAGCTACAAAACAAAGAAAGAACACAAAAAGAAACCCAATTATTGCAACTCAAAGCACGAGGTCTCCCAACAGCTGACAGATCAACAAGCAACAGTAACTGGATGCCAGGAGGAGGTTCTTGCCAAACAAGATAGTCTTCTTACCCCTCACAGTGTAACATGAAATTTGTCAACCAGTCTGCGCACGAGTTACCCTC